ACCCTCTGCAGTCTCTTCCCGTGTGCCTCCGTGCAGCTGGCGTGCCACACTGTCGCTGCACAGGTCAGCAGGCTCTCGACGGTGGATCTGGTCACCAGCGGCGGGGAGTTTGCTCCTTCCTGAGCACCCTGCTGGGTTTTCAAACAGAATTGAAACTTTCCTTCATTACATTTTCTTCTTCTCTGTAACACAGAAACCTTCATCACATTCGAATATTCACTCACATGAGATTATATTTCACTTCATGTTTCATTATATTTCATTACAGAATGACATTTTCTCAAGAACACTCATTTTAGTATACTGCTGTTAACCCAGTCATACAAATACTTTTTACTTTTACTCTTTAAACCTATTTGTCAGTCACAGTTTACTCGACCCACTGACACCGAGATCAGTGGCTCCCTTCATCCTCATTATTAAACATTGGCCATAATTAAACAGCCTGTAGCCAACACCAAAGCTCCAGTCTCCCCTCACAGCTTTTATTCCTGGTCATAAAAGGATCATTTCCCCTCAGCCCTGTATGTGGCTCAACTCCTTTAACGGTCCACAATATACAAGCACAGCTGAGCCTGTAGGGCTTTGGAGTGTGATGTCACTGGAGGGGGTGTGACCGCCGAGGCACCAAACAAAGGGCGAAGAGAGTGTTTGAGAGCGCAGGACCTGAAACACAGTTAATTTAAAGACAAGAACTTTAATGAGCCAAAGCCGACACAAATGTTTTATCTACTTTCAAACCCATTTATCATAAATGTAACAAACAAAGTGTTTAGCACATACATTAATGTTTTTTTCTTTTTATGTATCCATCTATAGAACGCTGCATGTTATATTAATCTGCCTGTTCTCTTTTTAATCTGCGTGCAAAACAATGAACCTACAGTAAGTAATGCAAGGATGTTCACTTCAAGATGCAGACAGCATGAAGCTCAACTTTTATGAATTACTTAAAATGATATAGAGACTCTGCAGGTCATTAATCGATGTATAAAACTAAAATAAAATGTATTTTTAGTGACACAGGACACAAACAATGAAGCAATGTGTATAATTAGGACTATTTATAATAAAAATGAATTAATTAGTGCAATTTCCTTAACCGTAGAGAATAACTAAATCCTTCAGGACAAATCAGTGCACTATGTTAT